CAATTTTCTTGATTTAGAGTTATCACAAAAATCTGATTAATAAGATTAAGTTGATTTGTCCTGGTTTGACACTGAGCTTTACTTATAATTAGGGCATGTAAAATCGGGGTGTTCCTACAGAACTTCGAGAGACCAATCGCAGCCCTAATCAGTTTACTTTGTGAGTTTCATGAGTTTTTAATAGTATTAAAGCATTAATATAATGACATCTAGTATCTAACGAAGAATCTTAAATTAATGTATTTACTATAGGCTTGGCCCCTGGACCCCCACCGGGGGCATTGGCCGCCCCTGACCCCTAGCTTAATGGTTGCTTCGTTCGCTTACCATATGAAACAGTTAAGCCTACCTATAATAAAGTTTTCTCTGCTACGCCATTGGTTTGCATATAAGGTTGTATAAAATTTAGACGACCAATGGTGGGGCTTCCTTTAAAGGTTGTTACTAGATGACCGACCAATGTTGAGATTCCTTTAAATTTGCATATACGACTATTGGTAGAGCTTCATTTAAGGTTGTACGAACTGTAGACGACCAATGCTGAGATCCTTGAACGAACGATAAAAAGTCTGCAAAATACACATTTTTTGTCTTTTTGGGGGCTTTCGTGGGCCTCGGTGCGTATAATTGAAAATTGTGTCTGAGTTTCGCAAATGTATGTTTTGTTAACGACATATAAATACAACTTACAAACCTACATAATTCGCTTTTCATTTATCCAGTATCAATAGACGTATTTTATATTATTATTATTATTATTATTATTATTATTATTATTATTATTATTATTATTATTATTATTATTTTTATTATTATTATTATTTTTATTATTATTATTATTATTATTATTATTATTATTATTATTATTATTATTATATTACAATTGTTGTTATTTACGAACATTATGACTCATGTCAGCCTAATGCGATAGGCTTTCTTATCGTTTTTTTCCCGCATTTATGCAGATTTGAAACAAAAGTCATGATTATTGGGTCAAAAATGTATAACGAAAGTATTGCACTTCAGTATGTCACTGTTAACGTATGCATTCCCCACTATATCAGCATAAGAATGATTCAAGTTAATTTGGAAATTATGCATTCGCAAGTTACCGGTTCCGATAGAGTTAATAAGTACGGACTTACAGTACGCTCGAGACTACGTCATGTAGCCAATCATATTTTTCTGATAGTATCAAGCCAACCTCACGTACATAGGTCTGCTATGGGAATATGAATCATTGGCTTATGGTAAGGAACAATAGCATACACAGAAGCTCCGGAATCCATTCGTTAGCCAATCTTGTAATGAAGCACTTTGACGAAATCTTTCGAGAAGTTACTTATTTACAAAATAGCCTCCCGGGAGATGCAATTGACTAGTAAACCTGACGAAACCTTGTCAAGTGTTACTTGGCACGCGCTAGTGGGAGATTTTTCCTAATACTATGTAATTGCTTTCGAGCTGCAAAAACTCCTGGATCGTATTTATGATACATTTCAACATGTTTTGTGTTTCACCACAAGGTTCACAGAATTGGGTCACGCGGGCTGACATGGATTGAAATTGTCAGCTTGCGTTGCGCTGAACAAGTTCAAGATCGAAGTATCGGGTTTTTGTACACTTTTCAACGAGTAATTGAATCAAGAAATAAAAAAAAATTCTGTCAAAATTTCTCGAATCGGCCTGTTGTTCTACTGTTTTCTATATAATAAAATTTTTAGGCGAGGCCTATGCAGCTGACATTTTCGGAGAAAAACATGGGCATTTCATTCATTTTGTTTTGCTTATAAAATATAAATACGTTAATTTCGGAGGAGCGGTTTGGTGAAGCGGTGCGGTTCTGCTTCTTAATCTTGGTCGGAGGTTCAATTCCTCGCTGTGTATTTCGCGTAACATTTGACCCACTTCAGAACATCACTGATCATTTGCTCTCAAGTCAGTAGCGAGTTGTTTTGTTTTGTTTTATAAGATAGAGTAGTTAGTATAAGCATAGCTCTATGGTATAGGCATAATTGATTGGCAACAATATGTATTTTTTTTGTAAAGCCATAAAATAATTGGAATTGCCTAACATTGCGTGAGCATAAAGTTAGGTATTAATATACTGTGTATTTGAATTAAAAGCCATGAAATCGCACAAGGGCATATTATCGTGAACAATTTCAAAGCACCCATGGCCGTCGAGAATGGTCAGCGTGTGGTTCAAATTTGACCACCGCGCTGGACCAAACCACCTTCCCAATAAGTTAAGTGTTACTTAGACCGGTTCTGTCTTTATTATTATCATTCTGCGTCCTTTGGCATTATTAAAAGCGACTCAAACCTTTTCTGTTTGCCCGGATAATTATCATTTTTCACTCCTTTTTTTTATTATAATTCATTGGTATATACCTCCCTAGTATATATATAGTGTTGTGTAGTCCCGGTCTGGAGGTACCTCCATCCAGAAAAGAACAAGGCTTAACCGATGTTAAACCGGACTACAAAAAACATAGGTCAAATCAAATGACGTCATAATAATGGGAAAACGATAAAATGGTTCTTACTACTACGATTTTATCGTTTCTCCATGATTATGACGTCATTTGATTTGATTTGTGAAAATTTTTTTTTGCATACACGATCGTTAGAGAATCGTGCTAGTGTGAAAACTTATTTCTTTTATTTTCTATATGAACAATTGCTTTTTAGCTTTTTATCGTTGATCCTTTATTTATTTATTATTTATTTATTTATTGAACATAGGCCTATTTATACAGGATAACGTATTAGGAAGGTGTAATAGCCTGTTTTACATATGGACCTGTTTTGTGATACAAAATTACAGTATAACAATCAACAAGTTGCATATTATTAAAATTGAAAATTGGTTACAAATATGAAAAAAGCTTAATCTAAAACACATGAATCCATGCGATTTTGATAAACTACATCGAAAAGGTTAAATTCATAAGGTAAGGTAATATAATGAAAGATAAAAGCTATTTTCCAAAAATTAAAATAGTAAAACTAAGTACCGTAGTAAATATTAAAATAAGTCAGATTGTAATTAAGCTATATCATAAAATTTATAAAACGAAATGCAAGTATTTTAAAAGCGGTGTTTTAATTCAGATTGTAGGCCCCTATGATTTTATGTTCGTTATCGTCAACATTTTGGCGAAGAGTCCAGATTCAGGTGTGAATTTATGGGTCATTTAAATTGCTAACGTCCCAGACCTATATTTAAAAAACATTATTAATGGTTCGAAATTAAACTTTCAAGAATAATTTGTCATGGTCCAGTCAGGCAATGATTACATTGTTGGTGACGATCCGGAGTAGTGTGTGAATATGAGGACCATTCAAAGGAAAACGCCAGACCAGATATCACATAACATGATCAAATGATCTGAATAAACTTTCAGCAAAGTTCAACCAAGGAAGAAATTATAAAAGTTTAGTGACGATCCAGATTCGGGTGTGAATTTGAGGGTCATTTAAAGTGCTAAAAGTTCCAGACCTAAATATCTAAAAAAAAAACAAAAAACAAACAAAACAAAAAAGAACAAAAACAAAAACAAAAACAAAACAAAAACAAAACAAAAAACTTATCAATGGATCTAAATGAACTTCCCAAAATAATTTGTCATGGTCCAATGACGAAATGACCATGGTGATAATCTAGAGTAGGGTGTGGATGAGAAACATTTAAAGAATATTAATATAAGAGTAATTACATTTAAATATAAACGCAGTTTGCGTTTTCTAAAGTCTTTCTGTGCTTTGATCTCAAATTTTGTCCAAGCACAGAGCATATCAAAGATGTACATATAAGAAATATTCAAGGCCTACGTCTTTCTACATATTTGAATAGGCCTATTAATAAACGGGTATTTGAACTTTTATGTTAGCTGAAGAATATTTCGAGTTTCACAGTCATACAATCAGAGATTCGTTAGCAAATGTACCGGTAAATTAGCATAATAAGCATACAACGATTGGCCTGATAGTAAAGTAGCATAGAGAATAAAAATATAGTAGATGTACATTTCAAATGTGATGATAGGCCCCTGTTGGTGTTCAATGGAATATAGGCCTATTAGATAGTCTGAATACAGGTTGTCAATAAATGCAGTGGCATGCCAAGGTCCTCTGTTTCAATAATAGGCCTACCAGTGTGTCCTTAAATAATTTATTTTGTTTCGAGTTTTTGACGCCCATTGTTTGGTCGTCAGTCAGTAGCTTCTAATCCTGCTTAATTTGTCAGTCAAGATGTTTGCTAATTAGGCCCCCTTATTTTTCTTCTCGTTAACAGCTTCTTGTTTTTTTCCCCTTTCAATATGACGAAAGCTTGAATGAGCATTGTCAAGTCCGACTGAGTTAAGGGCCACTCAAAGCGTGAATTATTTCATGATAAGTCTGGCTTAAGAACCCTCCAATACTAGATGCGTGGACTTTACAGTATTTGTATATATCGTTATTAAAAGTGCTGATTCAAGATGGGCCTATCAGGCGAAAATTCATATGAGCCGGTCTCACGCTCACGGTCTGGCCGAGGCATGACTCCTCGGAGTGTGACTAAATTCAGGCAAAACTCCAAGATACGAATTTACGAACGGGTATCTTAATAGGCCCAGGGGCGGATCAAGAATTTCTCAAACAGGATGGGGCACGTCTTTATATTCTATTTTCTCGTATTTCAATATATGGCATTGGTATAATTGTTTAAATGTAAAAATTACTCCGTTCCCACCCTTTAAGTTTCCCATCCCCCCGCCATTAACCCGCCCACCCGGCTTATGCCAAAAACCTACACATGTATGCTAGAATGACAAAATAAGTTTGGCTTGGTAACGATAATGTTTAAATCGAATGCATCTAAGAGTTGTCGTTATTACGAAGTTTTTAAATAATGTTTATACTGTATTGTATACTGCATTTTGTTATTGTTATGGTAAATTCATAGAGATAAAAATATATTGAATAGCGCCATCTATATTAAAGACATTTGTGCTGATGACGACACTGTAGCGAATAGCAGCGTGTAAACTTTGTATTGGAACCGGGTGTGAAGGATGGTAGATTCACACGGCTGTGAAAACATATATATTTGGAACTGGATTTTTGAGAACTTTGTGTGAATAGCGCATAAAATGCACTGAATTCTCATTCACTAAGAAGATAGAAATCTCCAGAGTATATTCCAATAATTATATAAGATAGCCTAGGTTTGCGTTTTACTTCAATCAATAAAGTAGCTAGCCTACAACTCTACTACTAACTAAGGCTTTGTGGGCAGACGTGTTGGGCATCATGAATTTTGAAATTCCGCCTGGCCTTACTGATTTGCTCCAGGATTTTACTGTAGCAGTATTGAAAGAGAAACCAGATGATTTAGTCGAATTTGCTGCCGAATATTTCAATAAACTGAAGGACAGTAAAGGAAGTGTAACTTCGAGTAAACGAGGAGTAGCATTTGAAGATGACGATGCACAATCCGACTCTGATTTCTCTGAACCACCGGCAGGTTAGTTAAAACACACAGACTCAGTTACGTGTCAGTAATGACCAAGATCGAAGCCTATTCCAAGGCCAGCGGTAGGCCTAGCCATTCCTAGGCCTAGCTAGGATAAATTAAGTTAAGCCTAGCCTAGACTGTAGGTTTATCGTCTACAGCCAACTTAGCTTCACAAGTGTACAATTTTGCTTTTTTTTCTTTATGCCTGCTAATATTAATTGAGAGCTTATAAACTCTGTGAGCAAGCAAGAATCTTTTGGAAAATAACCCATCTCCTGCCAATTCATGATGTCTGGATGTTCTAGGCCCCTACAGGTAGGCCTATGCTGCGTTCATTAGAACTTGTGAAGTCGGTGTTTCCCAGTTCACAACTTGTGAAACGCGTTTATCTCATTGGTGAACTTGTAAACACAAGTTGTGAACTCAAGTAGAATTTTCTTCCTTGATTTGCACAAGTAGTGTGGAAAATGGCGGATGTAACACAAACTATGCACAAGCATAGGTATTTATTGCAATTTGTATATAAAGTAATATTATTTCAGATAAAAAAAAGAGTGTTGTTTGTATGTTTCATTTGCAACCCAACATATTTATTGCAATTTGTTTAAGTAATATTATTTCAGATTTAAAAAAAAGTTTTTTTGTATGTTTTATTTCCGAACACATTGCAAAAGTGACAGCAGTCATTTTAGCGTTGGTCAAATGAATGCACTCTTCTTGTGTTCTCGCATATGTTAAAAGTTGTGAAATCAGTTTTCACAAGTTCTAATGAACGCAGCATTATATTGTCAATTTAATTGTCTCCAGGAAGTCAGTGCCGATGGATATTGCCATCCATAGCAAGATATAATTAGATGTGTTAAATCATAGAGAAAGAAAATAATGGTTAGAGGCAGGCTCCGGATGGAGATTTTTTGATGATGTACAATTGATATTTACAATTAAGGGTGTTTAATGAAAAACTCGGGAACGATTGTGATACAAAGTTTTGAATATTTTGAAAAAATGGAAAAGGTTTATAAATGAATAAATATAAGGATTTTGGTGACAGGGAAGTTGTTAGCTAAAATATTCAACCTGTTGATAAGAAATGAACCCAGGGTGTAAATTGAACTATGAGCCCTATATTTTCAAATAGGAATCTGTTATGCGCAGAGAACACCCTTCCATAAAAAATATTGATTTATTTTTTCAGATCTTCCAAAGAGGTATGTAACAGGAAGAAGAAAATCAGGTAAGTTTATATCATACATGCTATTTTATTTTAGTACTGTACTTTATATTTAACAAGACAGTATTTCATCATGGAGCAATTTCATTTTGATGACAAAGTAATACTGTATTATAAGGATTTTTATTTTTTTCTTTGCTTTAAAAAAAACTCATGGGAAGTTGTGTAAGGGGTCGTTCAACATTATAAACACTTTCACAAATGTACAAACAATACGCTGGGGGGAGGGGAGTCGACAAATTTGTATACTCTTACATGCATAAAAATATAGATTCAAAATAACATGTAATATGTAAAATAATGGTAAAATTATAATGTAGAAATGGATATAATATTCATTTTTATCAACCAAGTACGGTACATTGCTTTAGTTGATTTCACAAAAAAAATGGAGAATGGTTTTGCAAAATAAAAGTTTTTTGTACACTTTCAGTGGGGAGGGAGAGGGTGCCTAGAAAGAGTAGTTTGTACACAAGTGAAAATGTTGATAGTTTGTGAATGACCCCTACAAATGAGAATGAGGGCTTTTGCCATGATATTTCTCTTGTGAGATGTAACATAAATAATATATGTACACTGAAACCTGCATAATGTTAGAATGTATTATTTTTATTAGATCTTTGAATAATTTGTGAGCTCATGCAAGACTGTAATCATATGTACTTAATATTTAATAATAGTCATTTACGTAGAGTAGCGCCTTTGTATCATGCTCAAGAATACCTCCTAGGGAGTAGGTAATCATTGAACCAGAAAAGACTACAATTCAGTGTCAAATTATTAATTAGGCATATTTTTTTATCGATTAATAAATAACAAACAAAACCAACTGGCACAATCAAAATGCAGAATCCCTTGGGGGGAATCTCCCCTCTATTGTGAACCCATACCTTCGTTGGTGAATTGAGTAAAGGAACAAGATACACGTTTTCTCTGCCTCAGAGTGACAACCAGGTGCCCCAATACAGTGTCCAAGATAATGACCCTTTGGAGATATTAAACAAGAATTGGACCAAATTGAAAGTATCGGCACAAAGGTTTTCTGTGGGCTGTACTGTAGCATTGTGTTTACTTTACACTAACCTAACAACAGCAAAAAATACAAGGATGCTACCACATGTAATAAGTCCATACAAGAGAAACTTCCGAGAAAACACTAAGCATAAATACAAGGATGCTACCACATGTAATAAGTCCATACAAGAGAAACTTAGAGAAAAAAACTAAGCATCAATATCTTTAAAGCCCTGTCCAGAATCAAATTTTATTTGAAAAAAAACATGTGATATGCCTAAATATGGTCACAATGACATCACATCATGATCATACTACTATCATACTATGCATATCTTGACTAAATTTGGCATAACAGTTTATTGTCAAAGAAAATTTAATAAATCTAGACAGAGATCCCTATGATATGAAATCAGTATTGTCAATGTAGAAGAATTATTGCCCAATTTCAAAAAAGAGTAGCACATAATCACATACATACTGCAATGGAATGTAAAGCAAGATGAGAGCTATAGCTAGAAGGTGAGACAAAACAATGGATGAACTACAATAAGGTTAATAGGCAGGACTACTAAAAGTTGTTTTGAAAAGATAAAGGTGGGAAAAAAAATTGTTTTGTGATTTTAGCAACATGTCTGCCAAAAGCATGCCATAGAGAAAATAATATTAAATTAACAAATAATAAAGTGGGAATGTGTGATGTAAAAATAATAGTAGAGGAAGCCATTAGGCCCTCCCTTAAGATCATATCATGTAAATAATTTGATGTAGTAACCGTTACAGGACTTGGATAAGTGATTTTTATATATTTTTTCAATTAACTGTGAGGAAGAAGTAAAGATTACTATACTGTATTTATTGGGAGATTTTAGGGTGGTGGCTTGCATAATAACAATAAATTATACAGTACACGGCAGAGACCGAAAATAAGAGTGTATTTAATCTAGAATCAGCATTTTTTGTGGGCAGTGGATTTGGTTTGCAAATCAAGGTATAAAAAGTCTCACCTTTGTGGGCGGTGTCTCTTGGACAAATTATTGTATTTTATGAGAAAATAATAATTGAATAGAGAAGTTAAAAAGCCTTGACCTGTAGGCAAGTATATTTTTATGGTTTTCTTTCCTTGCATTTTGGCGGTAGGAGTATTTTAAAACACAGATCTTGTTATTATTGACAAGACTCACTGCAGATGGACATATTGCTGTATCTCATAGCAACAGCCGTACAAGGACTTGCTGTTACTCTTACTTAATGCATGCTTAATGTCACTTGAATCCAATAACTCAAACTGAGATTCATCCATTCATTTGTTAGTCAACTGACAGACTCAGCAAGCCAGGTCTTTTATACCAGATTACATTGCAGTAATACTTCACCGGTAATTACTTTTTCAAGGATTCCTTGGGCAGTATTAATGTTTATGAAAGTTAATCAATTTTAAAGTTGGATAATGGGACTTCGTTTAAAATCAATATGGTTTTTTTAAAGTGATTTCCAGGTATTATTTCGGTTTTAATATTAAATTCAATGTAAATTGACCATACAGTACATTTTTTTGGTTTCTTGCACACATGTATTTTGGCCTTCAGGCCACACAGTGCATGGTAGTTAGTGCTTGACATTTTGGGTGTTGGAATAGAGATTACAAAATATGTCCCCTTTGAAGATGATGATGCTTATTATTTAGTTGTCAAACTCTATCCCTCAAATTAGTAAGCCTTCTTTTAGTTTAAAGAACCTATGATACGTTACCTTCTCTCATTGGGGGGGGGGGGGGGGACAGAATACAAAGACAACTGGACGGCACCCGCCGAAACAGTGGTATTTACAAAGAAATAACTGCAAAGATTGAAGAAAAATTTAGGGGAAAGCTGACGGTGACACAGGTCACCAATAAACTGAAGTATTTGCGCAGGGAGTACAGTACAAGTGCGTGAAGCGTGGTTAGAAACGTAAATATTGCGTGGCATGATGGGATATACTATAACTGTGTGATTTACCAGTTAATTCATTGGTACATACTTTCTAGAACCGCTCGTACACTTGCGTAATTACCTTACCATCTGGATTATCCGTGACAGTGTTGACCACCAAATTCCTGGGTAAAATACCGTGTATGAAATGACCTTGGAGCTGTGTATGGGATAACCTTGGAGCCGGAGGCGACAATAAATCAACCTTAAAACATAGAATGGGTTGATGGGATAGGTGTTCCTTATTTGCATTTGATGACCGTGGAAATTTTACATCCAGAGTAGTTGTTACATGGTATTTGACGTGAGCTAAAATTTGCTCGAAATAGTCGACCACCAACTGAGTGCTCGGCACGATTAACCATTGAATTAAATGGAATACGATTGCCATTTTTCGCTCGAACAGGCCCTATGTTGTTTTCACGTGTAATAATACATCATTTCCTTTCAAATCCAACTGTAAATGTGCATGCATTTCCCTGCTGTACCCTAAATATATCCACCATTCCTAGTTCCTTGCTATGTAGCTCAGTAGAAATTCATCAAATGTAATTTACCAGTTGATTTTTGTTATTGTTATGATGATAAAGCTGTTGCAACATTGAAAAATGTTTGTCAATAAACCTGTTATCAACAATCCTGGCCAATATTGTCAAGTATCTAATTGAAAACTGGTGGTTAATTGAACAATCCAACATATAATTTAAATGTTGGTAGTTAATATTATATTACTTGTACTGTATATGTTAATTTAAAACTATAGCTTATAATTAATAAATATTTTGTAATAGTTTATTTATTTTCTTTTATTATCATATTCAATTTGATTTTATTCATTTTTCAAGTCACAATCAGTATGATGTTGATTACAGTAATACTGAAGCAATAGCCCTGATAAATTAAAAAAAGGTATACACAAATAAGCTAATAGTATGCTTTTACATTTTTAACCTTAAAGAAAATATACATACAAAAATGTAAACACACAATGCATGCAACAAACGCAATCAATTTGCATATGGATACTGTATGCACACCTACCTACAAGAGATACATACTGTACAACCTGCATTGCAAATTTTATAGAAATATTGTGCATTGTTTGAGATCATAATGTATAATTAATTTGTAAACGCATTTCCACATTAATTGACATCATCCTGTGCTGTTTATATTTCAATTTTTGTCATACTGTACTGAATATTAGTGTTTATAATGCATGCTTTATGCAAAAAGGTTAATGAATGACCATATGTTTACCAAACCTTTCACTCACCTACTCTCATTGGTCAATATAATTTCAAAGTACTTGTTAATTGGTCAATATTTACTATAGTAGTTACCATGGCATCACTTTGAATAGAGATATGAGAATTTTAGTACTGTACTGCACACTAGGATATAATATACAGAGAGAAGTGATCAATGAGTGATATTCATGAATAGAAGGCTCAAGTGATAACAGTCATGAATATTCAACAAACAAGGGTGTCATAAATTTCCTATCGGATATGATATCATGACTGATCTTAGCTTTGATTTTGAATTGTATGGTATCTGTCAAAAAAACTGCTGGGAATACATTCTACTACTGTAGCATTCTTGTTTCTCCTGCAGAAGAACTTGGAAGTCTCTCCTTAATACATCTCTCCTTCCCTTTAGCTTCATGAATTTTTCCATATCTCCCCTCCCCTCCCCCAGCTTCATGAGCTTTTCATTTTCAACAAAAATGGGTCAAGCTGAAAAGTTTCTAATGTGGTCCCACACACCACAGACCCTGCCAAGATATCTTGAAAATACATTTGCTCTGAAAGAAATGACTGTGCATGATTAATAATGCCAACACCATGTCAATGAGTTCATAGGTTAAAGTTCACTCTTTCTATTCCATTAATAGTGCAATGCAAATTCTTCTAATATTTTGGAGAGAGATTGGTAAATGACAGCTACACTAGGGTACAGTAAATGTAATTGCCAAATGTTTCTCTAACTCCTTGTTTTTCCCCCTGAAATTTGTAGCTACAGTTACAGTGCAGTGCATTATGTACAGTACAGATCCAACATTATTC